GGTGCTGACGGGCGCGGTGACGGCGATCATCCCAGAAGAGCGCGCCTTCTTGCGCCTTGTGTTGGCGACGCTGATTTCCACAATGCACACCTGCAGCATCGCCGTCGTTCGCCCCTTTAAGAGGGTCGAGGACGATGTGCTAGCGGTGGTGCGTCAGCGCACACACACCCTCCAGCCCCTGCCTCCGGCCCTATTTCTGTCACCCTTTTCTTGTGCCTTTTTCTCTGCAGGCGACGAGCCTGATGACGCTTCTCATCTTTCTCGCCGCAAACTGGATCTTCATCTTCGACGGCATTGAAGATTACTATTATGATGTTAACACTGAGAGAGCAAGTCCTCTCAAAGTGCTGGGCTTTGACAAGCTGGACGGCATCGTCTCGGTCATGATTTCGCTCGTTTTCAGCGTCCTCTTTCTCTTCATGATCGGAGCCGTCGTCGCCGCCCGCCGCGTCGCCAAGATCCCCAAGTTCCGACTCGTCTCGACCACGCAGCCCCCCGAGCTGAGCATCGGGATGGGCCTCACGTGGCACCTCTTCAACAGCCACATCTGGTGAGTCACAGCTATGGAGGGAGAAGAGGAACAGGAAGCCGGTTAATCCCACCTCCTCCAAATAGGTCGACCGGTCAAGACGCCGTAAAGGTCATCAAGGGTGAGCTCCAGCAGCTGCTGCCGGGCGTCAAGATCTTTCTCGACGCGCGCAGATGCTCAGCACCGCTAGCTACTCACAGCGAGACCCTCTGACGCACCGCGGTGTGCGCACATAGGTAGATGATCTCGAAGACATTGGGGCGCTCGAGGAGTACATCCAACGCTCGCAAGTCATCCTCTTCTTCCTCTCGAGGGGCTACTTCCGCTCGCAGGCGCGCGCCCCTCCAACCCCGCCACCGCCGCACTCTGGCCCTATCTCCCGCCTCTACTGCGCCACAGAACTGCCTCCGAGAGGTCCGCTCGTCGCTCGAGAAGGACAAGCCGCTGGTCCACGTCCAAGAAGCGGACCCTGACAAGGGCGGCGGGACGATCCAGGCGCTGCGCGCAGAGTGCCCCGAGGACCTGCAGCCCGACATCTTTGACAAGGACTGGCCGCTCACGATCTGGTATCGCATCGAAGAGTTTCAGCTCATCTCGCTCAAGATCATCGCCGAGGCTCCGCGCGGGCCACGGCTAGCCGCTCCGCAGTCCTCTTTATCTCTCAAGACCAGCCCCACCTGAACCACAGGCGTTGCTCCTCTGCTCGCCCAACTATCTGAGCAAGACCTCTCTCCCGCTCTGCGTGTCGGGCGAGCCCGAGAGCCAGTCGCTCGCCTTTTCCAAAACCACGGTCTGGGCCTCGCCGGCCAACGCGGGCGCATTGGAGCTGGCCAACGAGCTCGCCAAGGCCTTTACCGGTCTCACGATCTCCGCCACCGATGCTTGGCCGGCCACCGCGACGCACATGCTGCTCTACCTCAACGAGGACAGCTTCGTCACCGATGAGCGGCTGGCCGAGCAGGTCAAGCAGGCGCGCGAGGACAGGCTGAAGATCGTCATGGCGCACGAGAACGACCTGGACCTCGGCGGCTGCCCCTTCTCCAGGTTGTTCGAAACCACGCCGCAGGAGCTCTAGTCTCGCAGTGACGGCTATCCCGAGCCTCCCTTCCCCCCAGCCCTTTCCTTCCAACGCCGCAGGAGCTCATCGCCGGCGGACTCTACAAGGACCTAGCAAACTCGTGCTTCCCCGGGCGCCACCGCAAGGCGCGCGCCCTCTCCCCCACAGCTCGCTTTGCGCACATCGCACGAGCTCTCCATGACGCGGGGGCTGTCCCTCTTCGCAGGTGTCGCTTGTGCTTCTGGCAAAAAGCCTCGGCGCGACCCCCGCTCGGTCGGGTGTGGAACTGCTTTCAGACAGCATCGCCGAGCGTGGCAGCCTCGCGGGGCGCGTCTCTGGCAGCCTCAACCGGGCATTCGCCAAGATGAGCAGACGCAGCTCTGCGGAGGCTCCGGCGCGCGACGGCTTGGGAGGCGAGGCGAACGCCCACCGCGAGGCGCACGCCCACCTCTGCCTCGACCAACCCGCCCTCGCCCAGTGGGGCACGGGTGCGGACGAGCTTTGGTTCCCATGCCGCATCCTCGGCCTGCGGCACGACGGGACCGTTGACGTTAAGTACGACGACGGCAACATTGAGCGATCGAAGCTTGCCAGCCGAGTCGTAAATTGCACGCCGGCCGAGGCGGCGCAGCACGCGCTTGACGGCTGCGATGCGTCGTCATCGGTGTTGGTGTCGGTGCCGGGCGAGGCGTCGTCATCGACATCGGTGATGGTGAAGCATCAGGTCTGATCGGTTGAGGGACCCCTGCACCTTGAGGTGGGTCGTGCTGCCGAGAGGCGCGCGCGCGGTCACGATACATTGAACCAACAACATTCGAGAGCGGGTTGCACAGGGGGAGAGAGTGCACGATTGTGGGAAGTATAGAGACACAGAACTCCGTGCGTGTCGCGGAGAGGTTTTAGATGCCTTTTAGATGTGTCCCTCAGCTCCCAACTGAAGTACTGAAGTCGGATTGAAATCCAAACCCTGATGGATGGACTGAAACGTTCGTCCACCCCGAAGGCGAAGCGGCGCAGGCGCTGACCGACCTCCGACGGTAGGGGGGCCACAGCGCCCCAAAATCCACTAGTGTGGGATTTCGCGCAATCGCTTGACTCTGAACAGCTCACATATCCCTGCGGTGAGCGCTGTGGTCGCCGCAGACTGGCTCCGACTTGACGGCGGCATGGAGACGTGATGCCTCCATGCCGCCGTCGAGTCAAAATCTTCATGCGAGTCGATCTTTGGCCCGCCAGAGGCATATGCGGCGTTTCGGGCGACAAGCAGCGCTGCGACTGCGAAGTGGCGGTGGACATGCTCCCACGGTGCCGACGCAGCGCCGGAGTGGCCGGTGCTGCTCGCCGCGACCACGACGGCTACTCCGATGCTCCGGGCCGACCCGTCCTACCCGACGGTGGCACTCTTCCACGTCTCGCTCACGCTGAGAAAAATTCTGAAACGGCGTGCAGCAGAGTCACCAACGAGTCGGTCCGCGTGACTCCTCGTGTCCCGTTTTGTTTTCACACATCCATAAACTCACTTTGGCCTCACTAAAGCGAAGTCTGAATCCTTAATCCTCAGATTTTAGATTAGGACGCTGTGGGCCCTCTACCGACGGCCGTCGCCCCAGCCCATGCTCCAGCCCCTCCTCTCTCGCCGCGTGCAGCCTCTCCGCACGCGCTAGCAGGAGGCCGATAAAATCGACTCCAGCCACCATCCCCGTCATCCAGATAGATCCACCGGGCCTCCTCGCTCCTGTATGGCGCGCCCACGGGCGCCACGACAAGCGAGGGATTCAAGTGTGAGCGGAGATGACCGGGAGCCATGACCTGTGAATGATGGGCGATCGGCATCGGGTCCACTTGTCTCGAGAGGACCCGAACTCAGCTTAGAATTTTACAACTAAGTCCCGAGCCCAGGGCAGATTAGAACTGCAAAGAGAAGATGCACCAAACATGCGACATCTGGGACGTACGAGTGAGTCTGGTCGTCGGATGGAGCCGTAGCGATTAGGTGCGCTCGCGACCGTCGCAGCCGTCACCTGGTGTGGACTCGGTCGGGGTAGCCGCTCTTTCGCATCGGGCGGGAAACTGAAAAAGAAAAACGCCAGCGCTCAACTCGACCAGAGAGGCAGACGGATCTCCCGTCCGGACCACACACAAATCTCTCCAAAGCAGGAAATCGGCAAGCATCTGGTGCACCATGGCGATCAGGTGAATGCAGTGCTTAACTTGCTATTCGTCCACTTGATCCTGGCAAATATTGATGAAGACAAGTACATGAGATGCGCGTCCAGCCATTCCAACTCGAATGGCGCATTCGGCGCTAGGTCATCGATGGCATCCGCGGAAGGAAGCCCACCACCTTTGGCGCGACTAGACTGAGCAGAGTCCCGGTCCCCGGGTGGAACGGAAACGGAGCGAACGTGTACTTGGACATGTGGACATTTGTGCAGTGTGCACCGTGTGGCGCAGGCTGCAAGACCACGAACTCGGCGACGGCAAGTTTCACCTAGCGCCCCAAACAGCCACGCGGCGGCCTCGGCATGGCCGGGCAGCGGGCTCGGAAGCTCGTCCTTGAGGATCACGAGCCTTGGGTCACTCCCGCGAAAACACACTCTCTCTCTCCCGCGAAACCCGCCCCGTGAACATACGACAAATCCTCGAGAGGATCGACAAATCGAATGTTCCAAGCAGCCGACTCTCTCTCTCTCTCTCCCAAAGGGACACACACACACACACACACACACACACACACACACACACACACACACACACACACACACACACACACACACACACACACACACACCACCGCCCCAAGCCCCCCCAGCACCCCCTTGCTCCCCTCCCCCCCTCGGGAGGGCCGAACTGAGGCGCCCGTGGGGACCCCGCAATTCCCTTCCCCCCTCGGAGGGGGCCGGACGAGGCGTACCCCGAGGGCCCCGCTCTTCCCTTCACATAGCGGCCACTCTTCGGATCGCTGGTCGAGCGACCCGGGGGATGCCCCGCGCGCCTGACCCAGGCGCGAAAACGAATCTGCGAGGCGTGGCCGCTCATGCGGCCCGATGGGGAGGAGCGGGGCGGACTACGGGGATCGGCTTCTTACACAGCCCTTCCCTGCAGCGAGCCCACTCCAACCCACCCGCGCTAGGTCTCGGGGGACGAAGGGGTCACACCCGACGACCTCGGGAACTAGCCGGGGCAGTCGGAGAAGTGGCAACTCCGTGCACTGACGGTCGGCCGTCAGAAACCACGCACGCCTCCGTGGCTCGGGTTACACCAATCCTCGCTACCCAACGCGGCCAAAGGATATCCACCTCGAGAACCTCGAGAGAGGGGGGGGGGTTCCCCAAAACACGGCGGATGCCTATGTGGCGACCATCCCGAAAATCATCAGATAAGTCTTCATTACCTCTCTTATCGCAGGCAGGTCTCGAATGATCCCCGCCAAGGGCAGCCTCGCTGCGCTGCGCGCTGCCACCGCTGCTCATGAGGAGAGGCGGGCTGCCGACGCGCGAGCCATCGAGGCTGCCGCGTTGGCGCGGGCAGAGGCTGAGCGGGCCGCTGCCTCGGAGCTCAACGCGGCTGCCCGAGCGCTGTCCGATTTTGAGCAAGAGCTCACGCAAGCTCGACAGAACTTCACGTTGCGAGTAGCGGTGTGCGACACTCTTCAGCTGGACTTGTGCCGCGGGGTTCTCACACGCGTGCCTTGGCTTGCCGCTGTGATGTCAGCCGAGCAGGTGTTGGCGGATCCCGAGCGTGTGAGGGCGTGGCTTCTCTGGGCCGAGGGTACGGCGGCGGGTTCGACGCACCCGACACCGCCCACCCTGCCGACCACGCCAGTCGGGGCGGAGGGCGATCTCGAGCTGGGCTCCGGCGCCTCCGTCTGGGAGCGATGGCGGCGTGTCGTTGCGACCGAGGCAGCTGAGCAGGAGGGGTCGCGCTCTGCGGCGGCGGAGCCTGCCGCCCCACCCCGCAAGCGCACGCGCAGCGAGTCAGTCACCGAGCCGTTCGGTTCCGGCCCGGAGAGCGGCACGCCGGACGCTCCCAGCTCCTTCGCTCTTCCGCCGGTCGAAACAGTGACTGTTGACGGGATCGTCTTCAGAAGCTTCCAGACAGAGGACGCGATGCGGCGCCACCTCTCAGCTAGGGCTCCCCCAGTCGTTGCTGGGGGGCATGAACCACTGGTGGGGAGGTGCTGGGGCGACGTCGTCTCGGGCGGCGCGCTGGGCTGCGAGGCGCTGCCTCCGCAGGCGTCGAGCTTTCGCGAGAGGTTCTGCGGGGGCTGCCGGCAGCGGGGCGTGTTTGTGCTCGCGTCGAGGGTGTGCGTGCCCATCGGCGCGGGCTCCGACGAGATCGCCAACCGCCACGGGCGCGGCTTCTGGAACGAGCCGTCCCGAGCCTCGAGCTTGCCTGCGCACCGCGTCGTGAACCAGACGTCCGACTGCCCGGGCCCGACGCTCGTGATCCTCAAGGACGAGCTTCCGGGCCCGCTGCCCACCTATGTCACATCTACTCCTCGTGTCACCTAGTCATGGTCCTCGCTTCCCTGCCCGGTCTCCGAGTCCTGCGCCTCGCCTGAGTCCTCGTCCAAGTTCGAGTAGTCCTCTCCTCGTCTTCGTCCTCGTCTTCGTCCTCTTCGTCGATCTCGTCGAGCCGGGTGGCTCCTGGCCCGTCCCGGCCGTGACGCTGGGGCCGACTTGCTAAGCGGGCGGGGAGACGGACCGCCAGCTCTGCTGCTGCCTGTGCTGCCCGTAGTCCTCGCCTGCGAGCGAGTGCCCTTTGCGGGGCTGTCGCTCAGAGAGCGGGTGTCGCCACGGCCGTCTTCTTATCTGGTTTGTGGTCTGCGCGCTGCGCTGCGCTGCGCGTCTCGAGGCGCGCCGCAACACAGCCCGTGTAAATGGGGTAATGGATAAACCAAGCATCCCCGATGGCCGGGGGGATGTCACATGGCCCCGGGGTGGCCGTGGGCACGCAGGGGGCGCCGCTACGGGCCGCTGCGGCGCCCATTCTATTTCGAAGAATGCCATTCTGGAATATAGAATGTAGGTCTGAGACCGTTCACAGCCGAGTGCGGAACAATGTGTGTCTCGCATCACTTGCTTAATTGTCGACGGGGTTGCCCTGTGCCTCGTCTGGCCAAGTCTACGTACGTCCGAAATTTAATGTTAGGAGTGAGGACCTTAGACCAACAAGTTTCTTCCATTGTACGATAAAACGGCCACGTGTCTGCGAGAGGTGGGGGCGGATCTCGGCACTTGCACTTGATTGTCGCCCTTGCGGGTTGTACTCAGGCGATGATCCCCGCGCCGGGCAGCCTCGTCGCGCTGCGGCAAGCCGCCGCTGCTCACCAGCGTGCCGAAGAGGAGAGGCTGGCCGCCGCCTTGGAGCGGGAGGCGGCGAAGGTCAGGGAGCTGGAGGAGCTGGTCGCGGCTGCCAAAGAGCTGACCGATGTGGAGCAAGACCTCGAGCAGCTCCGCAGCGAGTACGCCACGCGCCGCGAACTTCACAGCGCTGCGCTGCTCGCAGTATGCCGCAAAGCGATCACACGCGTGCCTCGGCTCGCTGCTGTGATGACAGCCGAGCAGGCGTTGGAAGATCCCGAGCGTGTGCTGGCGTGGCTTCTCAGCGCGGCGGGCACGGCGCATCCGACAGCGCCTGCTGCGGGCTTGATTCCCCCGACACCGCCCACCCTGCCGGCCACACCGGTCGCGACGATAGGGGGCGCCCTCGAGCTGGGCTCTGGCGCGTCCCTCTGGCAGCGAGGGCAGCGCTCCGTCTCGACCGAGGCAGCTGAGCAGGCGGAGGAGGGTTCGTGCTCTGGGGCGGCGGCGCCTTCGCGGTGCCCAGGGCTGATGGAAGAGGCGAGGCCCCCGGCCCGCGAGGCCGCCAGCTCCGACGCTCCACCCCCGAAGCGCACGCGCTACACGGAGACGTGCTGGGGCGACGTCGTCTCGGGCGGCGCGCTGGGCTGCGAGGCGCTGCCTCCGCAGGCGTCGAGGGCCGCCTTTCGCGAGAGGTTCTGCGGGGGCTGCCGGCAGCGGGGCGTGTTTGTGCCGGCGTCGAGGGTGCGCATGCCCATCGGCGCGGGCTCCGACGAGATCGCCAACCGCCACGGGCGCGGCTTCTGGAACGAGCCGTCCCGAGCCTCGCGCTTGCCTGCGCACCGCGTCGTGAACCAGACATCCGACTGCTCGGGCCCGACGCTCGTGATCCTCAAGGACGAGCTTCCGGGCCCGCTGCCCGGCCTGGCCGAGGCCGCCGCGCTGTCCACCTCCGGCGGCTGGGTCGCCTTCACGGTCGGCCGCACGCTCAGGAGCGAGGTGGCTCTGCCGTCGGCCGTTGCGATTCCTCTCTCGCCGCCCCCGCCGCCCGAGCGCGACACCCCTGAGGCTCGCACCGCATCAGCCGAGGGGCGTGTCGAGGGGTTTGCGGCGGCGGCGCAGGCGGGCGAGGCGTCTGGGTCTGCGTTGGAGGCCGGCCTCGAGCCCTTCCTCGCGGAGATCTCGCTCGCTCTCGGCCCGCTCGCCGAGGCCGGCGCGCCGCCGCCGCCGGGGCCCGGCGAGATGACGTGGCACTTCGGGGGCGGCAGCCCCATCGACGACCTGCTTCTCTCTGGCTCCGCGACACCGCCGCTGCTGCAGACGCGCCCGACTCCGGCGGCAAGCGTGCCGCCGCCCTCCATGCCGCCTTCGCCGCCGGCCATGCACATCCCACTGCGTCTGGACGTGATGCAGAGCAAGCCGGTCCAGCTCTCGCTCGCCCTTTTGGTGATGGTCGCCGCTCGTCTGGCCGAGCTCGACACCACCAACCCCACCGCCTTCATCGTTGCCGCGGGCTTCGGATTGCTGGCCCTCGCCAACCTGGCACAGGCCTCGCCTCGCTGTCTCGCGCACGCGATGGCCCTGGTTCTCGCGTGCGCCCCGACTCTGCGTCTTGTCAGCGTCCTTGTCCGCTCGCCGGAAGCGTTGGCCCGTGAGCTCGACACGTTCGCAGGCGTTGGGCGGTGCATCACCACGATGGCTGCAGCGACCGGCGCCGCTCTCGGAGCGCTGCCACCCTCTGCCCTCCCTCCGACCCGCAAGCTGCTCGCAGTGGGATACTGCGCTTGCGTGCAGATGTGCGTCGCTTTGATCCTCCGTGTCCGCACGGGCGACGAGCGCGCGCCTCCCTTTCAGCTGCTGCACATCGTCCTCCCCTTCCTCGCGTCGTTCCTCGCGGCCCATGCAGCTTCGCGCAGCAGCGTCGGGCAGAACGTGGCGCGGCGGGGCTACTCCATGCGGCTCGCCTGCGATGAATGCTAGACAGACTGCGTTACACGCCGCACGCGGCGGAAGCATGGCGGCGCCCGTGCGTTGCGTTGCTAGTCCGCGTCTGGACGGCCGCCGAGCCGTGAGCATGTTGGACTTGCGCGGCGGCCCTCGGACGTCGCGTAGCACTTCTCTGGTGTGCTTTCGTGCCGGTGAAGCAAGTTTGTCCGTTCCCTGCGTGCTGCGACTGTCGGTTTCTGACATAATTCTGAGACGTTCATGTATCGAGTGTGTGTGTGTGATAGAGGACTACACAGCCGTACACTCACCCCGACACGCGAGCGTTCGCGAGCGGCAGCTGCATCGCCCGCCCCACCGCCCAGCTGACGGTCGCGCCCGCCGCGAGTCCGAAGTAGACTCCCGCGACGGCGACGTTGAGCATCACAGTTCACCCCCCCCTCTCCTCTTTTAAGGTCCTCCGGGCCCCTTTAGGGAGGCAAACCCTGGCCGGCCCCTAGAACCCCAGGTAAGGCCCAGGTGTGGCCTAGGGCATCAGAAGGGACCAAGAGGAGTCCAGTCTGAGCCCTAGAGCCCATGTCTTTGCCCCCGAAGGTCGCGTTCAAATGCCCGGAACGGACGTTACAGTGGTGTCCGGCCGGCGCGATCGGCTCGCTACTGCCTCCAGCAAGGACTCGCTGACTCCCACCCTGTTCGCTGCAGGGACCTAGGCACCTACTGGGCG